GGGGTGGAGTGGGGTGGAGTGGGAGTGGGGTGGAGTGGGGGTGGGGTGGGGTGGGGTGGGGTGGGGTGGGGTGGGGTGGGGTGGGGTGGGGTGGAGTGGGGGTGGAGTGGGGGTGGGGTGGGGTGGGGTGGGGTGACAAATGTCCAGACCACCAGGCCGGTCTGGGGTTTGGATACGTTGATCCCCGGGCGAAAAGCACTTCTCGGGTTGGGATTCGCGATTCATCCAGCCTGACCCCCCAACGGATGAAACAAGGGATAAGGCCGACAAAACAAAAAGGTCAGCCTTTCCCCGGTTGCCAGTGGCCCGAGGGGCAAAGGCTTGTTAGGGTTGACCATTCAGCATTTGCTGGGGAATCCACTCAACGATGCCCTATGATCCAGTTCAGGGCCGTCAACCTGAAGGAAAATGGGGTCGGGCAAGCACTGGCTTATTGGAGATCTGGCAGCCACCGGCTTCCGGCATTGCTTTTGCCACTACACCGCCTCTGGAGTGTTTTGAAGGGCCTCGGACATTGCCCTGGATCACATCTGGGCTTTCTTTGCGCAGGACACCGGCCTCAAACAGTTTACCACGATCAAAGCCATCCCCTACGCGGTGGACCCCATGTTCTGTTCTGATCTCAGGGCCCATCGAAACCCGCCCACATGTTCGAGTGACACTTCCCTCCCTCCCTGGCCGGCCTCATCACCTCCATGGGAAGCGCCATGGCCAAAAGGCGCCGTGCTGCGCGGCTTGCGGGGTGATATGCTCCAGGACTCCTGCGAGCCAAGAAGGCGGCCTTCAAAGTGCCAGGCCGGGGGCGTCAAGGCGACATCCTCCAAATGGCACGCTGGAATTGTGGTTTGAAGGGAAACCATGCCCCCCCCCCAAAAAAAAACCCTCCCCCCCCTGCAAAAAAAAGAAGACAAAGAAGAAAACCAAGTAGTCCTCAATTGTCAACTGAAGCCAACTAAGGCCATGGCTGCTGCATCGCCTCCGCCTGACACGGAAACCCACTGGGATGCATGGAAGTCACAGACTTCGAAAACTGTTGGGGGAGGGTGCTTCACTTCTGAGGGATGGTTTGAAGCCGACATAACCTACAGGGAAACCGACCATGTGCCAACAACTTCGGCTAGGGGTTAAGCAATGTAAAATGATGCAAACAAACGAGGGAACGGCCGTGCGATCTGGCGTCTCTGCCAAAGTCACTATGCAACAAAACCCATTTCTCACTTGCCCATCTTGCCCAAAGCGCCAGGAAAAAAGTCAAGCCTTTTGACCAAACATAGGCCACGAAAAGGTCAAAAGGTCGGCTTGCGCAAGTGAGCCTCTGCTGGTGGACCCCCAACCCAGCCCACAGGCCCCAATCAAAACTACCAATGAGGCCCGGCTGACGTCCCAAAAAGAAGCCAATGAACTGCTGGCGACCTAAACCCATAGTCTTTGATTCTGGTCCATCTTGAACATCATTCTCCCAATTACTCCCCTTGTATACTAAAGTAGGTACTGTCCCCTCCCAGACCCCCAGGACTATCCCTAAAGAGGGTCAAGCTGACTGATTCCACTCGAGCCTCATCGAAGCGCCGCCGCGCCGACTCTAGCACATCCTTGGGCCACTGGGCCGCCAGCTGGCAGCTGGAGGTGACCATGACTTTTGCTTTGGAACATGGGAATACACCTGTGAAATGACCCCAGTTTGGGCATATGTCCGGATAAAGCGGTGTTCGGTTTGGCCATCGTGGGTCATTTTCCAAGGGTGTAATCCCAGGGTGTAATACAACAAAACTCTTAGACAACGAAGCCGACTCATGGACTAACAACACTGCGTGGGTTGCACCATGGGCACGATCAAACATCTCCGAGTGCCGGGCCCTGCGTCGCGGGTCCTTGGGGTGACAGCTACTTGCCTTGTGGAACAGGCTGTGTCATATGGGAAGCGCAACCTTTGCAATTCTGGGTGGGTGCGTGGGTTGGGTTGGATGGGTTGGATGGGTTGGATGCGTTGGATTTGTTGGATGCGTCGGATGGGTTGAGTGGATTCGATGGGTTGGAGAACCAACCCAAATCTCAGCTCAGCTTGCGCCGCCCTTGAGCCCGCCACGAGGCTCGCGCCGGGCTCGTAGGCCGCCTCGGCGCTTTGCGCAGAAACCCAGCAGGCTCGGACAAGCCGGGGGCCGACAAGCCGGTCGGGGAGAGCAGAATCCCTAGCTGGCAGACTGGAGCCGACGTCCAAAACTGCAAACTACGCCGGTCAAAGCGACAAAGCCCACCTGCGCCATACACAGGCGCTGCTTCCAAGCTGAGGTCAACTACGGTGATTGCTTGGGTGGTGAAGATCAGGACTCACAAGTTGCCACTTCAGCATCACCCCTCAAAATGATGGTCCTGGTGGAAAAGGCTTCACGTTTCCAATTGTCTTTGCGGAAGCCCTGCAAAAATGGGCTGGAATAGTGAAAAGGTAGCAGCTATGGTTACGTCTTACCCACCTACCATAGTAAGCCCTCTTAGTGGGTCATAACCAGGGCTACTGACCCTTTACTGATGCCCTGTGACCTGATGTCGGTAGTCACCCCCTGTCAAGCCCTGTGACTGCATTGAGCAGGCCAACGGCACGCCTCGAAAGCGGTCTGAGGCACCCTGCCGAAATCCGGCGCTTCGCCTGGCGACTACGCGGTGCAAATCGAAGGGCCGGATCCTGTTCAAGCCACAAACACGAATCCGCCGAATTGTCAGTTTCTGACTTGGATCAGGTCTAGGAGGGTAGTGTCAAGTCAAGCTAATCAGCCTTCAGGCACAGCTGGTCTTCAGAAATCAGGAAGCGTGCTGGCCACTGGGAATGACTCCTGCACCTTGATTCAAGAGGCTGTGGTCCGGAACTTCTCCGACCCCGAGCAACAAGGGCACACTCTGCTACACGTGTTGAGCTGCCTGAGTTCAGGAAGTGCCGCGGATTGGCAAGCCTATCACAGGCTTTAACGTAGCTACTCACAGCGACCTGGGACCCGCTCTGGCCGCTTCCTGTTTGGACAAGGCCATTTCAAGGGATATTTGGTGTTGAACACAAGGTCTGGAAATGTGAAAGGAAATACCCATCCCCTTTAACAACTAAAATTATGGGCAATTTGGCAGGAGAAAAAAACCAACTTTAAAATTGAGAACCCCTCAAGATGTTCAGATCCGACCCAAAGGGAGGGGCTGAACCAAGAAAGGCCCAGAATGTGCAGCTCCGGAGATGCCCGACTTTTTTCCGGAACAAAACCGGCCGAGTGCCTATGCACACGCCCAGCCCAGAATTGTTTATCGGCAAAATGTATGTCTGCCAGACACGCTCTGAATTGCCTTAGCATCCGGAAGGAAAAACCTAGGCCCATGCTCCAGAACCATCGCAATGGCACCACCCTTGTGCCCCGCACATGGCACTTTGTCTGAGTTGCACATGCCGTCCATTCGTGCGTCTCAAGTAGCTTCCGGCGACGCTATTGAGCAATCAGAGCGGGCAAAGCACGCAAAAATTTCACTACAGCCAGTCAGGAGCTGCATGCCTAGAGCACTTCTCACGAAAGTGGGAGACAAATAAATCCACAATTCCAAGTGCCAGTCTCTCCAGTGGCGAGACTTCGCTCCATGGCTTGCGTGGCATGGGGTGGCCCCACTTTCCAAGCACCGGAAGCCTCCACAAAGTAAGCGAAAAACTGGTTGCATGACATGGGTGGCATGGTTCCACTTTCCAAGCAGGGAAGCATCCACAAATTCAGCGAAACCTGAAAGCTTCGGGCAAACTTGCGCCCAGTGGAATGCCGCCTGACTGGCCAGCTTCTCTGCCGGCTTTGCCGGTGCCAGAGTCTAAGCTAATCCCGAGGTACAGCATGAGCTTTCAAGGCTCGGTTGCGAAATCTGCTCTGCCAAAAGTTGAACTTCTAGTGGTTTAATGGAAAGCCCGGTCGTTGGCAAACACTTAAAGTCCCAACACCCAAGCAAAATGCAGCAAAGAAGGAGCTCTTACCTGTCCCCCCAAACCCTCCTGCACCCAAGCCCAACACAAAAAGCCTCGAAGACACGCGAGTTCCCCTATGCTCTCATGCCCCTCATGCCCCTCTGCGCCTCGGAGTGGAAAACAACACGCAACAACGTGCCAACTAGGGTTGACCTCTGCTTCAGAACAACCCTCCACAACTCCTCTGAGTCAGGAAGTCATGGATCATGGTTCCCTATCATTTGAGGGGTTGATCTGTCAGAGGTCAAGATTCCGCATCCAGTTCTTGCGTTTCCTTTGCCACTGGCTGCAGTTTGGAGGGGAGGCTACCGCTTCACGCTGCCTCCGTGCCAAAAGCAATTCGACAAACCCGCCCTCGGCATTGCAAATGCCTTCCGCTGGGTGTGACACGTACGTCCGCGTCACACCGCCCTGATCAATTTGTCGTTGCCCCCACATGCTGAATTGCCGCATCATACACGACCCATGCTGCTCTGATGGGCTTGCAAAGTCAGAGGATTCGACAAAAACACCTGGAAAACAACAAACATGGCTTTCATGCCCGACCGGAAACCCGAACTTAACGGAAGAAACAGCTTTCGTTCGAAGTCAACAGGTCGATGGCCGGACTCAATTAGAATGCCAGGACGGGCACCTACTTTGGATTCAAGGCGCTAACCTATCTCGCGTCGGCGTCACTTTCGCCAGCCCGGAGCCCTGCCTGGCATGTCGAATCGAGCTCGGGAAGCCAGGGCGAGCCGTGTCGGTGCGCAAAGGAAAGACCTACATGACCTGAAGCCGATGTTGCGTGTCTTCGGTCGCTTCGACGGAAAAAAAAGAAGCTGTTCTTTGGTGAAATGGCACTTTTCGAAAAGTTTCCGCCCTTTCTGGGAGCTTCGTGGGTAGAGTGCCACAAAGGCGGAGAAACCCGCGACAAAGGCGGAAAAGGGCGGAAGAAAAATCCGGACATCTTAAATCGAACACCGACCAACATGTTGTGTCCTTTTCTCGAAGGCGTCCTTTTCCCCGCACCTGGGCTTCACCGCCAACCTACACTCCTGCAGGCCGGCAGCCGGCTTCAAAAGCACACTTGTCTGAGGAACCTCGTTTGGGGGGCCCCCCCCCTTTGTCATATTGATGCGTGAACCGGTTGAAACTTGCGGGTGGTCCCCTTTTCCTGGTTGCGAACAGCCCACACGGAAACTCCCAACAGCTCAAATGCTCGGCTGGCCTCTCATCCAATCATCCGATGCGCGGCAGCAGGAACTCGGGAGATTCCCCTGCCAGCGTTCCAACCGTTCCAACCCAACTCACCCTTTGGAGCAATGCACACAGGCATGGGCCTAGCCCTGGTTCAAAACGCTGCTTGGCAAACCTGTTGCCTTCCAAAGGTAGTAGAGTATGATTCTGCATTACCGACTGAAACGATAAAACCCATCAACCAGAACTAAGAATCCCCCCAAGTGAGGACCTTCATCATGAATTTGTTCTATGCTACTCCTCTGCGAGCTCGCTAACACAGGTGCCTGAATGATTCCAGGGAGCCATGTGTCCCCTTTTTCTGGGCCGACCTGGGCCTAATCCTAATGAAACAAATCCGTGGGCGACCCGTGGGACACGAATACCAGCGACAAGGGAACCATCTCGGGTGGTTCATCGGGACCCGGCTCGAAGGCCACCCGTGTTTCTTTCCCCGGCTGGGCCTTTTGCCAAAAGCCGACCCTGGCAACTGGACTCTGGAAAGCGGCTACCCCTCACACCCCCCAAACCCTTCCGCCCCAAACCCTTCCGCCCCATCCCGCGCCCCTCGGCCCATCCTCCAAAGGTCCTGAAGGACTTGAGCCCGGGATCTGAGCAGCTTCGGCCGAGGCCGGGCCTCCGCAAAGAGATGCTTGACATGAGCCTGTGGACATCAAGTTGAAGAATTGCCTCTGACATGTGGCGGTTCTCCATGAATCAAGTGAAATGGTGTAAAGAATCCGTACCCACCACCTGCACCACCCAACCGCACCCAACTGCCTTGACAAACCATTTCAAGAGTCCCGCTGGCTTCCATCTTTACTCCCTGGGTTGTGCAAGCCCCTTTCTGGCGTGGGGGTGGTGGAAAATCGGATTGGCGACTCCATTTTGATCAGCCCAGCTAATGGCAGGTTCTCCCTGGGACCCCTCGCGTTGGTTTTTCGGGGCCTCCCGAGAGCCCGTCCATCCTCTCGCCTCAGGCTGCGCAGCGGGATGGGGTTCAGCAAGGGCCAGCCTTTGGCGTTCAGCTCCCGCACCGTGACACGGGCCGCTTTCCTGCCCAGTCGGCTCTAGCTGAGTGGTTTGGAGGTTATGTGGGTCAAAACCAATGGGATTTTATTTTGGGGTAGGTGCACCACCCATTCTAGTCTATTTTAGTGGGGACTGGGACGTTCACTGGGGGCTAACCGGGATTTTGACCCATGGCCATTTCCATTTACTCTCTACAACCAGGGGCTCGAATCCCCAAACCAATCCAAGCCGTGAACTGAGGGCTCCTGAGATAGACCGATCCCCGCGTGTTTGCACGCGACGAGACCCGACGCCAGGATGCCCAAAACCCCAGGAATCTCAGGAGACGTCCATTTGTGCTCGTGGTTTTGTGGTACGTAGAATCAAACACCCCTGCTCATGTGCCATCCGTCCGACCAAAAACCAGCCGGTTCAGCCCCACCTGCAAACAATGTTTATTTAATCGTTCAGAGTGGTGGTTTTACCACCCCTAACCAACATACTGGCAAATAGCTAAAACCTATCTAAACCAGCGGAACCCATCTATTTCTAACCCAATTCCCTCCCCCCCCCCCAAAAAAAAAAAGGACACCTACGCCAAGCAACCACCTTTTGGCGGATTCAACCCCAAAAAGCCCCGCCCCGATTTTTCCTCCCCCGCCGGCCAGAAATCCCACGCTCGCGCACTGAATTCGACGAATGACTCGCTCGCTGAACGCCGGCCGACGGCGCCTCTGGAGGAGCTCCTTCGCCGAGACGGCGGGCATGGTGCTGGGCCGGGCGCCTCAGACAACACTCGGCCTTGGGGCGCCTTGGGGCGCCTCGGGGCGCCGCGGGTGCCCCTTCTCCCTCGACAACATGGACCCCAAAAATCTGCAAGTTCTTTTCGGCCCATGTATTTATTTTCATACTGAAAAAAATGTGTCTTTTCTTAAAAAGTCCAAAGCCTGAAATAAGAATTGGATCCCCAGGTAAAGGACCTTCATCATGTCGTGAGCTCGTTGTACCCCCCGAATCGGTGTGCCTTGCGATAAGATAGTATTTACCCAGATTTACCCCGCACACGGGTCAAGTGGGGGGTCAAATGTTGGTGTGTATATATATATATTATTATTATTATTATTATTATTATTATTATTATTATTTGTTGCCTACCTGAATTGCGGACTGTAGCGGCATAGTGGACCGAGTTGCGCAGTGATCCGCAAGGTAAAGAAGGGGAACTGTTTCTTGGTCCCTTGACCGCGAGTATAGCGGGAAGCCCCCCCATCTAATTCACGTCATTCTGGAGTAGTTGTCCTTGACACATCTGGGTGCTAAGGGGGGCTGGAAAAGTTAAACTCTTAAAAACTTGTCCATCCCCTTTTAGTTTCCGCTTGGGGTAAATACTACGTGGCATCCAAATTTTCATTCCTCACTTGGACAAAGAGGGACGTCTTGCGCGCCCCCCCCCGTCCACCCCAGCCATTCATTCCCCTCCGCCCGCCCTGCAGGCAAGCGGCTCTCTACCTGCAAACAAAATTCGAGCTCCCCAAACGGCCCTTGCATCGGGCGTCTCGTTTTGTTGGGAAGTTGTACTCCGCTTCCCTCCAATTGGTGGTGATGATTGGTGGATGCAGTGGTTTGGTGGTTAGGGCGGTTTCCCATTTACCCTCTACAAGAGCCAGGGCTTCAAATCCCCAAACCACCAATCGAGGGTAACCTGATATACGTATAGTATATTGCCCCTCGAAGAAAAACTCACAAAGCAACCACTTGCGCTAACATCCTCCAAAAACCATCAGAAATGCATAGCTGGAGATGCTGCAAGGTCCCACTGAGCGCAGAGAAATCTCTGAGCAGCTGACCAGAACTTACAACTTGGCTGGTACGAACGAAAAATGCATGGGATGGAATTCCACAAGTGCACACACATAATCCGAAGACGCTTCTCAAAACCTGCCCCATGTGAGGTCCGATTTTTTCCTGTGGCCTCACTATCTGGGGCATTGGCATCCGGAAAAAAAAAAAAGAAGGAAGCCTGCGGAACCGCAGCTCAACGTATGGGCCTGATCTGCAAATGCAGGGTTGGTCTTGCGGAAGGAGGTCAGCTCCTTGTCCACAACCTGGGGGATTTTCACGCATGGTATGTCAAACTGGGTGCGTCCTGATTGGAGTCTAATTACCTGTTTGGGTTGAAGGGCAAACGCAGCTTCCAACTCAGAGCTATGCATTTTTGAGCCGGATTTTGGGAAAGATGCACATCATGGAGATGGAAACCGGGTGTTGGGACCCATTTTCCGTGATATGAAGGGAACCCCCTTCAAAGCGGCAAAGCAGTGATGGATTTGGATGGTCCACCTTGGCGTCACAGAAACGGTAACTCCCCCACAAGTATGTGTTTGGCTCAAAAAATAAGGGGAGCCGACTTAAATGGTTAGTTTTGGTTTTGGGGGCCATGGCTTGTCAAAACAAGGCCTGGTTGGGACAGCTTTCAAAGGGAGGCATGAAACCAGAAAGTGGGAAGTCTCCCGGATTTGCTACCCAAACCCAAATCGCAGTGGCACTTGCCGGCAAGCAGCACCGCACCAGAAAATGTGCTCCGCCAGGGCATGCTCCTCATTGCGGACATTTTCCTCCCCTCCCCTCCCCTCCCCTCCCCTCCCCTCCCCTCCCTCCCCTTCCCCCTCCCCTCCCCTCCCCTCCCCTTCCCCCTCCCCCTCCCCTCCCTCCCTCCCTCCCCTCCCCTCCCCCTCCCCTCCCCCTCCCCCTCCCCTCCCTCCCTCCCCTCCCTCCCCTCCCTCCCTCCCCTCTAGTGTGATGAACTTGCGGTTGCATTCAAACACCCATTGTGGACCATGTAAGCTCGGCTTACCCAAGGCTTGCCGCATAAGCGGTGCCTTGGGGTCCCGTCGGCCAACCCAAACATGGCCCTCATTCCACTGACCCAGGGTTCACCTCATCCATGTTTTTTAGGGGACTCCCCTCCCCTTCAAAAAAAAGAAGTGTTTTCCCCTTGCGTTGCCCTTGGCAACCAAGACCAAAACAAAGAAGAAGAAGAAAACAAGTACCCTCAAACAAGACACACCCATGTACACGCCACTTGCCATATGCCCATCCGAGGGGCGAAGACTCCGGGAACGCCTCTACTCGGCGCTTTGTACTGGGACCACGCCATCAGCGATTCGGTCGAGTTCGCGCAGATTCGTTGGGAGCTGGCGATGGCCAATTGGCCTTTTCTCGATCGGCTGGGACCCGAAACACGCGAGCTGAACCCACTTCTGATCACTTCTGCACCTTTGAGCCGGGCGACGGCGCAGCAAACGCAAAAAACTGTATCTTGGAAAGTGCTGATGGTGCCAAAGCTGAGTGTGCATGGCATGAACCATCATGAACCCCAAAGCCCAGCCCTCACCCCACTCCATTCTTTGTCTGTGTGTGTGTGTGTTTGTTTGTTGAGGGGTGGGCTTCAAACCCAGTGCTTCCCCATTCCCTGCAATCTTCACATCCCAAAAATCGCCCTGTTGCACATAGATTCGGATCCTCTAGTATATGTTCCACTAAATCCCCCCCCAAAAAAGCCGCAATCCCTTGGAGCCGGCCTCCCGGTCGGGCTGGGTCACTGGCTCCATCCTCAGCTAGGGGGAAGAAGAAAAACAAAAAACACGGTCTTCGAGTGGTCCGGGCTCAGTTCTTGCGAGGTTGAAAAGCTTGACTTGCCCCCCCCTGCTTGTCTGTGGGGTGGTGGGTGAGGCGGGGGGGGGGGGGTGACCACTTCATTTCGGGTTGCAGACTTGGCCAGTGCAAGCCCCAGAGTGACAGAAGACAAAGGAGGAGGCAAAGTTCTGCCGCAAGAAAATGTCACCACTGAAGCCTTCAAGCACTTTGGTGGAATACGGCGATGCTTGCGGTATAGCAGAGGCTTTTCAGCGGTTCTGCGGACAAAGAAGCCGAACACCAACAAAACAAACAAAACCATGTCCAGCGTTTCGAATCAAAGGAAAACACCCAAACGGCATTCATCCTCATGGTGCCAATCCAAGACTCTGAATATCGGTCAGTGCCCCAGGCTGCTTATCAAGGCTACCACTGGGTGGGGTCTCATACGGGGCTTCATAAGTCTCCAAACCACCCCAAATACCCAGTTGCCCAGTGACCCTGGCAAAAAAACAAAATTGGGGGTGACAGGGGAATACAAACAAAATCGGCAAAAAGCAGTTCCACTGAACAACTGGGAATACCGCCTCCCCGCTCGTGTTGCGAACTCCCCCCCCCCCTGAATCTGATGTGATAGTGCCCCATTGCGGCCTTGTTTAGAGCAACCCGGCAAAAGAGGCGAAACCCCGGAAAAAGGCTAGGGTTGCCACAAAACTCCCAGGTTGATGGTTCTGCTTCCGAGCTCCCCTGTTGATTAAGCAAAACGTGGGGCCTTTGCCCCGTCCGCATGATTTAGATCCCCCCGCTAAAAGTTAACTTTTAGTCGGTTAAATGTCAATCCCTCACTAAATACCGAAATGCTAAAAAGCTAAGGAACCGCATGGCTGGGAGCCACCAAAGCTGAGAGCGGCGCATCTTGACGTAGGAGACATGGCCCGGAGCCGAAGCCATGGCATCACGAGCCGAAGGACGGCAGGCCGCAGGCTGAAAACTGGGGACCGGTTGCCGGCAACTGGGTCAAGTGAGAACAGCTACCTGGATCCCCAAGTAGCCACTTTTTTCCAGCCACTGTACTAGCCCACAATTTGGTAAAAGTAGCTATAAAATAAAGGGAACTGGGGATCCAGATCTAAAAAAAACGCAGAGAGTCTTGGTGCCTACTGTAGCACTGGGTGTTCAAAAAATAGGAGGCCTGAAACGAAACACGCAACTCCCACCTTGTGTTGCCGCATGTCAGGAGGTGCATTGAAGCACGCATCCCTGTGATGCCCTTCGCAATATGCCCACGAGGAACCACCGTTCTGAACGCTCAAAAGCTGCGTGGCGCCTCGCTGTAAGAACCATTTCACGTCATGACGGCTGGAGCTGAGCCAGGGCTTGAGCTGTATGCCAAGAAACTGCACTGCCTGGATCCCCAGTTGCCTTTATTTTCCAGCTAATTACTTTTGCCAAATTATGGGCTAGTAAAGTGGCTGGAAAAAAGTGGCTTCTTGGAGATCCAGGTGGGCGGCACGGCTGACCAACCACTTGGCGAAGTGTTTCAGACAAATATAGTAATTAGAGACATCATTTTTTCAGGCCCGCGGTCGCTCTAAATCCATCGGGTGGCCATCGTCACGTTTAGTTGGACTGTTCAAAATGGGGGGAGGGGAGATGCCACCCCTGATCAAAGCCGTAAACCCGCACCACCGCCATCTGAAACATTGTCTTTCAACGATCCAGTTTGGGGGACACTTCAAATTGAATGACCCATGAAACTGCTCCATAGCTCTGAGATCCGAGCCATGTGCCAAGCAGGCGGTGCAGCAACACGTCCCAACCGAAGCAAATAACCCAAGGCCGAACTCACCTTCCAAGCCGCAGCTTCGGACACTTCGTGTGCTGACTGGATTCTGGAGCTGATCAGCTTACTGGGTTCCAATGAAATCCGAAACCTGCCACTGTTGAAGCTAGGAGGGATTTGCCTGGCATGATTCCTGCCGAAAAGGGAACTTCTATGGCCACCCAATATTTCAGGAGCGTTTGCCGCTTGCAATGCCCGAGCCAACAACTTGTGCAGGTCTTGGCTGCTCCCAGAATGGCAGCCACCGTCTCATGCCGATCTAAACGCAGGTTTCGAGATCATGCCTTGAGTTTCGCCCCGCCTTCGCGCCCGCGTTTTTCAGACATCAGATAGTTTGACTGCAGCCCGCTCCGCTCATGTTAAGCGGCCGGGGTGCCGAAAAAAACAACGGCTGCTGAGGCTCACAGGCGAAACACGGGGCGTGCCCAGAACTGCGAAGAGCACATTTGAAGCCAACCGTATGTGAAACCTCAGCGCTTGTAACAAACAGCTATCAGTGGCAGCCTCTGCTTTGAGAGGGCGCGCCTTACACCGAAAGTGGGTGTGCTACCACGCTCCGGAAGTTCAATGGCCGAGCTCCATGCTGAGTGACGGTGTGCAGTAAAAACATGGTCCTGCCAATGGGTGAGGTGCGATAAAAACACCTTCCTCTGGCCACCCCAATCCCCCCATTTGGCACTACCAAAGGCGCTTGGTCGCCTGTTGGCCCCATGTGAGGCCGGCCAAAACTGAACTTCGCAGCGGGATGACTTCAATCGCTGCCTCCTTTGGTGGCCCCCTCGCTCCTTTGGTGGCAAGCCCAGCTACCCGGGCCCTCCGTCCTGGCGCTGCCACCCGATAAACTGAAGCAAACAAGAAACCGCTTGGGAGAAAGGCCGGCTCAGCCGGAACATGCCGGAAAAATCTACGAGGCTGTGAGAAAAGCTAGCCGCAAACCAAATCTGTTCCGGGCTTTGAGGTTCTGTTGCCTTGTGGGTGGCGGGCGCCTTGCGACGGCCACTTGCAAAGTCCTGCGGCTTGAAATTCAGTCATTGCCTGAACCTTCCAAGACTCAGTTTTGGCGTATCGGACAACGCACCACCTCCAAAGACCTGCCTCATTTCTGCGTCGATACGTAAGCCTGATCTTGGCTCAGAGAGCGAAACTGTGTCGGGAAGGTTCCAAGGCAGCCGTCCCATCACGAGTTGATTCGCTGCAGCACTGGTGGGGCAGGCTCTTCCTGACGGCACTGCGTCACAGGAAAAACTTGCTCCCCTGCAAGCATGAACCCCCCAAAGCGATCGCCTTCTGGTGGTGATCTTACAGGAGGGACAAAAAATCAGACAAAAAACGGTCAGATCCGAACTATCCGCTTTCGGGGAAGCTAGTAGATCGATTGTTTCCAATTCGCACCTGAGTATGACACAATAGGTTAAGAGTCTGGTAAAATTGGGATCCCGAAAACGGTGTTGATCACAATGTGCATTTGAAAGCTGTGATGTTCAATTCGATTATTGACGAATGAGCGCGGCTTACTCCTTTGGCGGCTGTGCTGTGCCAAGATTGTCAGTACCGCCTTTGAGGGCACGACAAGAGCGTCAGTCATCCAAAATCTCAGTCTGGACTTGGACAGGGAGCACAAGCACAGAACCATTGCCCGCCTCGACCCCCTGCAGGCCCTCCAAACCCGCTCCCAGAAAAACGGGTGTGGCGCCCTGAATAGGTGAAGTCCAAAGGATATGCTCCTCAAACCAAAGTTGGCACTCTTTTGAGACAAATCCATCCCCCCACCCCCCAATGGTATATATATATATATGTATGTATGTATGCATGCATGCATGTATTATGTATATATATATATCCCTATATATATACATATACATAGACATATACATATACAAATACAATAGACATATGCATATATATATATATCCCGCTCCCGGCTATCGCTCCGGTCGCGCTGCGCGATTCGCCCCTCCTGTACCGGGTCCAGTTGCTGGGCATCCGGCGTCTCGGAGTCCTGCCCATTTCGTTGGAGGGTTTTTTTCTTGGAGGGGTGCCTGTTTTAGGTTGGTTGAGGAAACCGACACTCGATTGCCCAAAGGACCTGGAAATAAAAGGTGATCACCTTTTGGGACCATGACTAAAAATGTTGCCCAAAACGAGAACACCAAAAGGTTGAAAGGTCGGCTTTGGGCAACTGAGAACAAGAAAACCACAAGGGCCGCGGAAAGGGGGGGGTCCCCCAACCAAAGAAAGAACACAGTTTTGGGGGGTCCCCACGCACAGTCAAAATACCCTTCAAGAAATATCAGGCGCAGGAACCTGAAAAAGGGCCCCAAAAACGGCAAAAATGAGGGTGCTCTTGTTTCGCAGGCTGTTTGTTAATCAGGTGGGTACCCCCCCAACTCACTTGCCCAAAGGCACGGAAATGATTAAAAGGCCAACTTCTCTGGCAGCATTAATGGCACCTTCAATCCTGTTTGTTTTAAGCGATTTTTGGGTTTAGGGTTCACGGTTCGGGCTTTTACCGTCTAGCTTTAGAGTGCTTCGGGTTTAGGTTTCGGGTCGGTGTGGTTTCGGGTTTAGGTTTACAGTGTTTAGGGTATAGGGTCAGGGCCAGGGTTTTTCTGGCTTGAAGTGTTTCAAGGTTTAGGTTTTGGCTTGGGGTTTTCAGGGTTCAAGTTTTGCTCCCAAAACGCTGCGGCTAACCTGTCCCGAGGGGAGCTGGGATTGGCCGTGAAAGTAGCCGTAAAGGTAAACCAAACGGGCAGAGCCAAACTTTTGCCACTCTCTTTTTAGAAGGCTGTCCATACATTTGTCCCATTGATTTTGTTTTTTTTTAAGAAACAACTTGGAACCTGACAGGGGGGGTTGGAAAACCATTTTCCTTCAAAAGGGAACCCCCTGTCAGGTTCAGTGTGAAGTGGCGGGAGGGTAGCTGGCACAAGCTGCCCTTTTCCAATTCGCCCGACTGCATCACTTGAAAACGGCCCGCCCTGCTTCCAGAACCAAGGCGGTTGATTTCTCCCACCTCGTGCAGAAAGGAGGCCATCGACTCCTGGCAACTCCCATGGTTTCTTTCTCTCTCTTTCCTTTTTTTCCTCTTTTTTTCGGGGGGGGGGGGCATGTTCGCCCTTTGAAAATCTACACGAACCCCCTGGCAACAGGATAAAAACACGTAACTCTTTTGGGGGGGGGGGGTTGTTAGGGAATGCACATGGTTGATTTCGCTTCCCCGGAGCCACACCTCCAGCTTCCACTCGCTGAATCGCTCGTCGGCCCTTCGTTGGCGCTCCCCATCCTGCAAATCGATTCAGGGCTTGGTCGCTGACTTGAAATGGCTGTGGGTCAAAAAAGGGTACCCAAAATGGAAACCTGGTAAATGGAACCAAGGACGATTTAACCTGCGGTCCAATTCCTGGAGGTTAGTTTTGACCCATACCCGAATGGAACCATCTACCAAGCAAGCAACTGACCGACCGGGGTTGAGCCACGTCCCTCGTTCTAGTCAACAAAAGAACGGCTGACCCCTCCAAAAAAAGGAAAGGAAGCAACTTATGGTCATTACTACTCTTGCGTCAATACATCCATTTTGAAGCAAGGGGGTCCAAATAGGGTCCAAGGCTTGTTTCTCCAAAAACTATGGATTTCTTAAAGCGAGCCTCGAAGCAAACACACACACACAATGACAAATGGGGTCGCGCGTTCTTCGGAGGAAACTCATCTTGCGGTTTTTTTGTTTTTAGTTTTTTTTGAAACCAACAGCAACGCGGCCCTATGCAAAGGCCTTCATTTCGAGACAAGCCCCATGGCTGCCAACTGCCCATCGAAGGTCACCCAACGATTTGACAGCCAGTGGGGTGGCTTGGGTTTCTGAGGTTTAGGGACCTAGATTGGTGGTTGCGGTGCCCTCTTGGTGGTTTGGATTGGCTTGGACCATTCTCGGGGGGAAGCTTTCCGAGGCTCTTCCAATCTGATGTTCACGTCCGAATTGAAGCAAGTTATGACTCACCTGTGGGACTAAACGACGTGCGCGCAGTTCACACTTCACCAGCCAGTAGGGATCCCCATAAAGGGCCTATCATACTGTGGATTGACAAAATCAATTTCGCGCCACTTTGAGACATGGTTCAAACCATTGTTTGTTGGTATTTACAGGGAATATGATCATTCCGCGGTGGTGTGAAATGGATTTCGCCCATCAATAGGTCCTTTATAGCGCTCGTTTCTCCAACTGAGGCAGCCACACTCAAAACCTGATCCTGAAGGGGTCTACATTCAATGTAAGGAATCAAATGGGGGGGGATATCCAGGGGATCTCCGCTCCTATGTCTCGTCTTGGATGGCTCACAGGTCTTGGGACCGTCCCCAATCAGCGCCGTACGTTCTGATTGCTGCTCCCTTTGCTGGTGCCGGGCCTGGAAGGAAACCATGGGAGCGACTTCCGGAAGGAAGCTCACTCCCATCTTTGCTTCCAGGCCCAAGGGCAAAAAGATTCCCGGACAGCAGCTGTCCTCTTAGGTCCTCTTGCGATTTATCTTCAAATGCGGCCTCTCAGTTTTCCAAAAACGGCCCAGAGGAAACCGCTATCTTTTGATTTCGAATCCTGCAGGGATGCGGGCCACGCCTCCGTCATCCACTCGAAGTCCTTGGTTGTCTGAGAGGGCGCAGCCATGACTGCCATCCATGGTAACTGACTTGGTGCCAACTAGGCTGTGAAAAAACAACAAGTTATCCATCCCCTGGTGCTTTCCTTTGGGGAAATTTAAACATGGTGTGCCGTTTAGAACACTTGAAGAAGGCAATGTCTTACAACGTAAAATGTCAATCTTTATGCAAAAGCGAAGCCAGCTGGACCATCCACAATACTTTGCCCAAGCTTCTCACACCGCCAATCATGCCTCCCGTCAGCTTCCATGACTGCGGAGCATGTCGGCAAGAGGGCGATTGCGTGCTCTTTGTTTGACCATTTAACCCTCACCGCAATTGCTGAACTTTCTCCACGGTCTTCTTGACCAGCCCGAAGGAAACACATCATGCTCAAAAGGGAACAACAATGAAGTTGAATCAGTCAAGGTGAATGTCCAACTTGCTGGCAAGCAGGGCCTTCCGTGAGTGTTGCGACTGCCCCAGTTCATGGCGCAGCTGGATTCGAGGCGCTTTTTCTCTCTGCCATTCGTGCGGAGACTTTGCCTTGCCACTTGCTTTTGGTTTGCGTGTTGATGTTGAAGCTTTTGGTAGCGAGGACTGGATTTTTGTGCCTTGGCCCATCGAATCCTGGTACAGGCAAACGACAAAGTCATGCCTAAGTCACTCCTTTCTCCTTTATCTGTGTGGCCATGTGTTCCCCCATGTAAACGCCGATTCCAAGAAGTCACTCCTAAGTCACGCCTCGGCAACAATCCCCATGGAACGCTTGACATCATCGAGCTAGTCATGCTACAAAAGACAGGTGTCAACACTGAAACACAATGGAACGCTACTGATGGCAAAGCATGTTTTCCAGCCCCGCGAGGCGTCTGCAGGAACATGAAAACCAATGGAACGCCAAGCATACGATAGGTTGTTGCAGGAGAGTTTAGTAAGACGTGACACAATGGAAGGGCTTTGCAGGCTCTTGCACCGTGTTTTTCCACGTCCTGGAGTTCTTTCTCTGGAAGGCAGGCAGGCACATATGCAATGCACCCTGGCAAAAAAAAAACGAGATCAAAACGAGATCAAAACGAGATCAAACCGAGATCAAAACGAGATCAAACCGAGATCAAAACGAGATCAAAACGAGATCACCGATCGTCCGTTGAAGATTTTGGGAGATTTTGGGTTTACGTGTGCCGAACCCGCGCCCAGAAGTTCACTCACTTCTGCACCCGCTCCCATCTTCCGCACCCACTTTTCGACTCAATTTCGCACCTGCGAACGCCAGCCGCTCAAGCGCGCCTGCTCAGCCCTGCGCACACGCGCCAGCCAAATGGTTAGCACCCCCGATCAAGCACACCGGCTCAGCGCTGCACAGGCGCCAGCCAAATAATAAGCACCCCCTCAAGCCCACCCGCTCAGCCCTGCAAACACGCCAGGTTAGTCCAGGTGAGAGGAAAAGCAAGGTGCCGACTCGAACCAGCTGTAGCGAAAGAGACGTCAAGTCTCAAGATTGCGAAACACACTGTAAACGCTCCTAGGCGGATAAGATAGAACATGCCTAAACCATCCTAAACCCCACGGAATAACAATTTTCAACTGCAATGCCTCCCAAAAGCCTATCCCTTCAAACATGCAGAGTTCCTATGCGTTTTGGACAGAGGCACGACTTCTTCGAAGCCCTCTCCCCCATGGAATTTAAGCAATGCCTCAAACGGAGGCACGACTTTGTCAAATCCCTGTACTGCTGTCGGAATCAGGGGCGGGGGGTTTGGAAGACTATTCTTTGAAAGGCCTCCAGTCCACATCAATGATTATTGGAAAGAGATGGAAAGAGGGTATCTGCAATGTGCTTGCCTTATGAGCAATGCATCCTGACGCCTGGGCCTCCCCACCCAGCCGTGCCGCGCGCAGAGTGCACGTAGCCGCTGCTCGTCCCAACTGTCTCGCTCCACCTGCGTGGGGCAGGCCTTTTGCCCCCAACATACCGCCAACCTTTGCAACGGCTCAAAAGCCTGAAGACAGCTTCATGATGGCCATTTGGCAAACCAATGCCCAAACATGAATAAAGCAATTCGGCGTGTTATAACAGAGCGGGGTTATCCCTCTGCCTTGGGTTCCTAACCTCCAAGGCTTTCAGAGAGCTATCCATAAAAGCAAAACGGACTGCCCTGCCAGGTTGATGACTCAGCTTTCTTGGTCAAGCGAAATATCAAGTGGAAGTGGCTGCCTCAATTACAGCCTGCGGTTTCCCTTGAAATTGCCACCAAAGAACGGTCCCCATGTTAGGACAAACCCATTTCTACGGCGCTTCAACCTTCTCGCAATCAAACTCCGCCCCCATGTCAGAGACGTGCCAGCTTTTCTTTGCACCTGTACCCGGCCAAGAACCGCAGAGGCAAGAGTTGGAACAAACAAAGAGAGTCTGCAAGTGCCAGCTGGGCTGGGTTCACGGCTAAGGGGCCCAACCAGCCCCCGCAACAAATGGCTCTACCTCTGTTTCCCTTAAAATCCAATGAAAGGCCGCACATGTCCAGGCAAAAAACAAACACGAGTGAAACCACCTGAAAGATGGACCCAAACCTCAGACACCTCACAACAAGTCGTGGCTATGTCATAGCTCTTCAACTTTCTCCGCCGAGCCGAGTCAGCTGCTTGCAGGACTTGCATGGGTTGACTTCTGACAAGACACAGTGTTGGGGTAGTTGTTTACTTGGTGGCTCCCCGCCCTCCCCCTTAGCCTTTTAGCTTTTTAGGGTTTAGTGGGGGATTTCCATGTAATCCACTAAAAGTTAAGCTTTGAGCAGGGCATGTGAGGGCAGCCCAGTTTACAGGGAAGCCACAAGGAAACTGGCTATTTTAGGACCCCCCCCCCCCATTTTCTGAAGGTACCTAAAAAAAAGAAGAAAAAAAGAGAAAAAACACGCGCCTCAGGGTCGTCCTGGTTGCCTTCCGCCCGGCAAACCACCTGAGGGCATGGAAAGTGATGCCACTGGGGAAGGCACGCCCCTGATTACTAACCAATCCGGAAGCAAAAAACGATTTCCCTTGTGACCCCGCGGTGATTAGTTTCAAAAGGTGGACCTTTCCCAGCCAATCCGCTCACTAACAAAGTGAGGTAAAAGGGAGCCCCTCATAGTAACAAGTGGGGGGGGGTAATACAAGCAGGGGTCAGCATTACCTTCGCGCAGTTTCCTCAGATTTTAAAGTTTCAGTCGCGTCTAACATATCCGATCCGGGCCAAGCGTTTTGCTACGACACGTTTTACTTTTCTTTGGTTAACGAAGATGTGTTTCTTCTTCCTGATTGTTATGAATTCCTGTTTTCGACGATGTGTGTTTCATTTTTAAGGAAAACATAAGATGTCCGGCACCGCCTCCTAAAATGGTGTTCCCAAAGTTTAAAGGGAGAAAGTTCGAGCCAAGCACTCTCGGGACCCAGCCTTCACTCGCTTGTCCGCAAAGGCGTTCATGTCCTGCCCGCCCGGCCCCCGCATTCAGAACTCGATCCCTCAAAATGGAGCGGTGGCCAGCTGTGGTGCATAATTATATTGGAATGGCTGTGGCTCAAGAACCGGTACCAAAATGGAACCCTGGTAAGTGGAAACATGGACCAAAACCTGCGTAACCCCTCCTGTTTCATTTTGAGCCACACCCGAATAGTTAGGGCAGCGAAGCGGGCAACCTCGAAAAAGAGACTAAGAACCCCCCGTGAACCCTTTGGTCAGCGCGTGAAATCCCGCTGAAACTCGATCTACCAGCCCCCATGCAAATGAACGAAGACGGAAAACAAAAAGGAGGCTGCCCCACCAAGAATGGGTGAAATGGGCATCTGCCCTTAAACAAAAAAGAGTCTTGCCCACCCCACGTCCATGCCCCTCTTCTTCTGCCCCCCTGCTCAAGCAGTTGTTGTGAGTTGTGTCCGCTTGTGGGACCTGACTTGGACTTGCGATGCCGTCCTCCAGCGGGCAATGCACCGGCCCAGAAGTGAGGCTCTGAAAGCAGGACCTGCAGATACTCTTCCCACCCCCCCCCCCCCTCGGGCTGCATGTTAATTGGAAGTAGGGAAATTAACACGACTTGTTACCAATGATGGGTTTGGGGAGTCTCCATGTTTATCTGCAGACGGTTCAATCGGAACCAGCCATGGGCTCTCGCCAAGAGAGCCATCCAGGGAACACCTGTTTAAGGGCAAACAAAAAGATCTGCCCACGAGCCAGACCCGTTTTTGCGAGCGATTCTGAAAGAGAACCATTGCAGCCAACCGGCTTCAAGGGTCCGCTCGCATGCAAAAAACATATTGAGACCCTGACACCCCATTTAGTCGATTCGAAAACCAATTTAGAGACAAGATCACCCAGGAACCGTGCAACGGACTCACAAACCGGCAGCCGCTTCAAGCCGAATCGAAGCAACCGAGGCCCGGGCATGCACATGTCGTAATCCTTGGCTGTTTTGCTGTGCTGTGAGGGATGCCTTCGAATAGTTGTTGAGAAGCAGGTGCAAGCTAAAAACGAGGGGCCTTTGGTGAATGCCCTGCCTGTTGGCCCCCATCCCACAAAAGGGGTAGGGTCATCAAACATCCTCTGCACGTTGCTACGATTTCCGCCAGGAAGGGAAAGGCCTAAAAGCATCTGAAAGCCACAGCCCAACAATCCTTCCACGAAAATCAGTCCCTGACCATCCTGGGGCATTCCTGGCAATTCAAGGTCTAGCTCAGGCCTGGCAAGTTGTGCTGGTCGATAGATCTGAAGGAGCCACTCATCCGAGGAATCCCCTTGGAATGATTTACACTGCCCCAACAAACCGATTTGATCTGAAGCTGACATTGGCCTCGCAAGACAATTCATGTATATGGCTCAAGGCCACGCAAAGCACGGTGACATGACATGATTGTTTTGCCCCGCATTTGCCCGCCACGAACCTGTGGGCTAGTCCCTGAACCTCAACTCAAACAAAACGGCCTAGGCACGAGAAGATGATGGGGCACGGACCCCACCAACCCACAAAGCAGACCAGCGCCTTAAAAACCACTCTCAACCAAAGAAACCACCTCGAAGTTTAACCAATACCACGACACCGGACCTCAACAGGCAGCACTTCCCATCCCCCCCACCCAAAAAAATAATAATAAACAAACAACAAACTGGAACCTCAGTCAGCGAAAGCCTAGAAGATAAGGATAAGCATCGCTTTCCCGCAGCGGGGTGAACCTCCTAAATGAGCGTTGCTTGCTTTAGGCTTCCCTTAAAAGCACCCGAGAAAGCAGCGTATGAGCCAAGGCGCGCAGCCGCTGGGGCAACGGAACCTCACAAGGGTTCCGTTAAGCCTAGATCGGTCCCAAAGGGGTGCAGGGCTTTTAGACGATTCCGCAAGTGAGGTTCCGCTTGTACTCGTCTTGAGGTGGGCTTCCCACTTAGATGCGTTCAGCGATTATCCTTTCCATACGATTGGGCTATTTGGCAACTTTCTTGAGAGGGCAATGCCAGAACTTCGCAGGAGAAACAGCAAATGATGCTTGAGCAACACCCAAGGGGCTTTGATGCTCGACGGCAACCCACTCAGGGATCTGCGCTCGCTTGGCGAGGGGCAAAAGGAGCTGCTCTCAGAATGGGCGGCTGCGCCCGCAGCGGTGCTTGACAAACCCCCCCTCCGCCCCCCCCCAAAAAATAAAGCTGTCACCTTGCAGCACGCACCTGCATAAACAATATTTGCCAAGCTCCGACCCGGATTTGTTTTGCAGCGCGGCGGGCATGTCTCTGTTGTCTTTACCATTCTTTGCTTTTACTTGACAAGCCAGTCCAGCCCGAGTCTAATGATATGGGACAGCTCACCATCACACCCCTTTTGTGCCCAGAATTGCTGCCCTCACCTCAAGCACATCCTTACCTCAAGCAAATCCGTTTCGATTAGGGCATACAAGGCGTCTATTTTGTGAAAAGAAGCTTGCTTGCCCTCCCCAGTGTCTTTGCAATGCTTTGGGGGCACGTGCTCTAGCAACAGCTAGAGTGACACACGCGTCTTGTTGCCTGTGCCACCTAAGCTCCTGCATCCGAACCTTCCCCTAACATCCAGAAAAGTCTGACCTACCCCTCGATCAGAACCCGGTTTCTTCCGACCCTTTCCAGGAGAGCGCTCCCTATAAACCCATGCCAGTTACCACTAGAACTGGGGATCTTCCCTTCGGCTTTTAGACAGTGGTTCCTGGGTACCGAATTCTTATTTCAAGTAAACACACGGAACAAATTGCTGATACTCATGCTCAGCACATAACGCAAGCGGAAGCCCCCTAAGACATATATATATATATACATGTATGTCTTCTCTTTGGTTGTTCAGGTGCCAGATCGTGGTTTCCCTGATTTACCTGGTAGCAACTGGACCCGGGAAGCATGCGCCGACTCTGCGGCGCTGGCTCTGTGCCGGAGACTCCGCACACGTCACACCTGGCAAGCGGATCTGGATCGCCAGCTTTCTCCAAGCGGCGGTGTTTTTTTTTCTTTTCAGGAGTGACTGCAGAAGAAGAAGAAACAAAAACGGCAACTGGTCTGTCTAGTGTGGCTAAGGATCTTTAAGGGCAGCTGAGGGTCCTAGAAGCTGTTTCTGCTTGGCGCCTTTGAGTTTCCATATGGACACCTGGCCTCGCGAACGTGCCACATGAGTGCTCCCAATGCCTTTCATGTGCGCAACATTAGGACTCCCAAAAGGCTGTGACTGCCAACTTCCACCTAAAACCTGTCTTTTAAACACAGCCCCCACTCCGTCCTCTCCAACAAACACTTCTTGCAATGTGAATGGCCGCCTCAATCCCGCGCACCCCCGAATCCGTTGTCGGTCCCGGCAATCGGCGAGGCGGGCGTATTGAAGACACGCGGATCAGGTTGCAGGGGATGGCCTCGCTGGGTTCCGGTGAGGTGGAAAAGGGAAATGGCGGGGGGGGTTCCAAAGGCAAAACCAGTGGCCAAGCGTTCACAGATTCAAAATGTGTCGAAGGGTATGTGGCCGGAATTCACACCTTGGCCCCCTTGCTGGATATTGAGGCAAGCAGGGCGTTAAAGCCACGCTTGCAGACTCGTGCCATGCCTGGCGTCCTTTCAAGGGGAGGGAGGGCTGCAACACCACAGCGCCTGGGTGTTGGATTCTAAGCGGTCCATCCCTTATGGTTTCCTTCAGGCAAACTCGAAAGCTATTGGCGATTTGGCACCAGGTGCCAAATTGCCAACAGACAAGCTTGCGCACAAATCAATGATTTGCCGCTTTTTGTCACTAAAACAACTTGTTGTCAAGAAGACGCGTAGACCATCAGCCCTTCTGGGCCACGCTGGGCAGAGGGGGGCATGACTCCAGCCATTGCTGCTGTTTCTCAACAGCCAGCCGGCGAGGCTTGGAAACCAGCAGCAGGCTTGCAAACCCCAGCTTTACGCACGCACCATCAACTGCACATCCGTGGCAATTGATCACTCTTCAAAGTCAATGTCACACGTCCATTGCAAACTACAGGCAACTGTCTGCTTCTGCCAGAAGGCCTACACAAAGCAATGCCTCTCTCCTAGCATGGATGTGCAGTCGCCCGTTCCCGAAAGATCGCACATTTCGCGCTTTCCATTTTGCGCCCTATGCCAGCAACGCTCTTGCCGCACACCAAAACCCTCGGTCGAACAAAAACACGGGGGGTATCCAAACGGCACCGACTCTCCGAATCCGAGGCGGCGGCTCAGGCTGCAGGTGGGCCGCTTCATTCGCTTTGCCACCTCGAGGTTTTGGGGATTGTGGGGACAGAGCTCACTTGGCCAGTGCCCGGCCAAAAAATAAAAGTAACACTTGCCACCACTAGGAAAAAGGGAGAGCCACCAAGGAAAAGAAGTGTAAAGTGTGTCCACTGGCTGGGTGAGAGGGGAAAGGGAAAACACCACGGCCAAGGCCAGCTACCAATCACCGTTTATCCACTCACCAAAATGGCCATGAAAAAATTGTCCTTGGTCCCAACCCAAATGCTCCAAACCAGGGACCTCCAGGACTCCAGTCAGAGTTGCCCTGTTCTTTACTCGCAAAAAAGCGGAAGGCTATCCTTGTTGAAGGTCACACAACGTACGGCCATCTAGGCAGATCCCCAAACACTTGGCCTACATGTTGCATCAGCTGCTCGTGTCCATGGCCGATAGCTTTAACAATTTATCACTGCACGTGCATTTTGCCCAACACTTCGAATGCTGTGTGAGTTACGTATATATATATATATATATTCTAGATAGGCATATGTTGTAGCATTCTACATTGTATTATAGCACATATATATATATATATTACGTCAGATTATATTATATTATGTTGTATTATGTCATATTTTACTATGGCATGTTATATTATGTTATATTATGTTATATCATGTTGCTATGTGACGTTACATTATATTACACTGTATTTAAGCATGCATAATATGTTTTTATTTGTTTCATAACTGTATGTACATGTACATCTCTTGGTGCCTCGCAGTCTCTCAAAGCGCCCTCTTCATAAGCTGCTGGCAATCTCGTGCTTCTGGAACTTCCGAAGCTCGTCCAGGATGGCTTCATAGGATGCCTGGATGCATCTCTGAGCCATCCTCAAAGACCAATCACCCCCATTTCGGCGATATCCCACTCTGGGATTGAGCCCGGGTGCTTCTCCCAGCAAACCTTTTGCGGGAGGCAATGACAC